AAAAAAAAAAAAAAAAAAAACATGATTGTTAGAAAATTACCACACAACAGTAACTTTTAATAGTGGTGTGGTGTAACTTTTTAATTCTGAGCATATGGTAGATTATTTTCTCATTTTGTGCAGCCAAAGGGCTTTACAAATTAATCCATTTATTTATAATGAATACAAGTATTTCACACATAGGGCGAATCCTCAAAGTCAATTTAACTTACACAGGCAACATTTATCATACTGTCATTAGTTTTGCTCTACGTTATTCTCAAAACTAAAACACCAAAATAAAAAATTCCTTAAGGGGATGATTAGTATTAACAATGCAGTGTTTTCAATGAAACTTAAAAATGTGGTCTTCATGGCAGGGCAAGGTGGCTTACGTCTGTAATCCTAGCACTCTGGGAGGCCAAGGCAGGAGGATAGCTTGAGGTCAGGAGTTCGAGACCAGCCTGATCAAGAGGGAGACCCCGTCTCTACTAAAAATAGAAAAAATTAGCTGGGTGTGGTGGTGTGCGCCTGTAGTCCCAGCTGCTTGGGAGGCTGAGGCAGGAGGATCGCTTGAGCCCAGGAGTTGGAGGTTGCTGTGAGCTAGGCTGATGCCACGGCACTCTAGCCCAGGGAACAAAGCTAGACTCTGTCTCAAAAAAAAAAAAAAAAAAAAAACTGTGATCTTCAGACTTTTGAATGTCTTTGATGATCTTTAATTGAAAACTTTAATTTCCTTTTAGAAACTTATGATTTGTCAGCCTTTTTGCTTTGACAAGTTCACTAATACCTTCTTTTTTTCTAGTTTGCAATGAATCCATTTTATGAACCCAATTCTCCTATTCGATCGAGCGCATTTGACAGAAAAGTTCAATTTCTTGGGAAGAAACACCTTTTAAGCTGAATGCAGAAAAATTCTGACATAAACAATGTTACAACAATGGGGTATACTCAGTAATGTGTACATTGTAAGTAACTTGATTAAATAGCCTGGAAAACTTTTACTTATAATCTCAATTTATCTAAACCTAATGAAATTCCTTTATATTTAAAAATACTACATTCTGTTTCATGTCACTTATCAATAGATTAATATTTGCTTGTAACAGTGTTATTGATAAGGAGCTCCTTATCAGTAATCCTGAAACATTTTTAAAAATTGAGAATGTTTTGACTGTCCTAATTCAGACAGCTTGTTCTTGATATAACAGTCCAGAAACAAATGTCACAGTCAAGATTGGATAGATTTAAAACTAAAAAGATTCTGCAGTAAGGAATGAAATCGATAGCACATACCTTGATTTATTCATCCATTTAGAGTCCTGGATCCATGTTTGTAAAATGGGAGGCTGGGACCAGTTATAGGCCACAGTGAGTGAACTGTGTTGTTTCTGTCACCCTGTTGTTGTATTTCCTTTCCCCAAGACAGTAAACTAAAGATTAATTGAACCCGTTGGTATCTGTGCTTGTAAAAAGTTGTAAGGCAATTTTATAATTGCTATCAAAGAAAAGCTTGGAGCACATTAACATTTGCACTCTTAGCCTTTTAGGCTGTACGCCAGAGTGGGCTGGGAGTAGTCTCTTTAGTACTATGGTAAATGTGTGACCTTCTAGTAAAATAGGAAATGTGCATTGAAAAACAAGTAATCAGATTTTTTCTTAGTTAATTGTGACAACTTGATGAATTTTGTTCCATTCTGAATTTGGGCAAGTAATTCTAAGCTTGGTCTTGTATTACTTGTGTGAAGTTGCTACCATCAGTTTTTACTCTATTTATTTGATTTCTTAAATAAAGATGTTTGTCCAAGATTGTGGTAGTTTAATACTCAATTTTAAAGTGCTGCCCACCACTACCACTGTTTTAGTCCTGTTTCCCTTATCGAGAGCTTGCAAACTAACATATCTTAACCCATTATACAGACGTCACATTGACTACAACTAGGTGCCTGAGGTTTGGGAGCAGAAAAAAGTACATACTCATTTAGAAGTCTGGGAGTAATTTCAGCCATGCTAATAGGAGATACCCAAACACGTATTCATTGTATATCATTTGCCCTGCCCTCAGTGAGCATATAATCCAGAAGGCTATAATGCAAGCCAGCCAGGAACTGCAGCATGGGGAACAGCAGGAAGTTGTGGCAGTGGGAAGACTTGAGTTCAGGCCCTGGCTCAGCTGTACAACACTGGTACCCTAACAAATAGCCATCCTTTTCTCCAGGATTGTGAGGGTGAGATGGGAACTGGTTAACGCACCCCGTGTGAGTATATTACCAAAGGATAATGGCAAATTTAACATTTGACTGCATCTTTGAAGGAGCTCCAAGGGAAGTTGAGCCATGAGTGGGACCCCTGAGGTGGGCCGCACAGAAAAGCATCGCAGGTATGAAGGTGTGGAAAAGAGCACTGGGGCACTTGGGTAGGTAGGACAGGCAGCTGATAGGACGGAACCAGGACTGGTATCAGCAGAAAGCCAGGGGCTGATCATTAGGAAAGCTAAGCTGGTAAAGCTTGGATCTGGCAGGTGATGTCCCTTAAAGGTTCTGGAACACAAGAGCAATGGGGTGAAATCAGTCTTAAGAAAATCAGGTTCCACTGAGCACACGTATGTCAGCACTAAGTTGGTTATCTACGTTAGTGCTCCAAAAGTAATCCAGATAAAATATACAAATCTAGTTTTGTCCTCTTTCTATAGCTGGAAATTTCTGAGGATGCTTCATTAGGTGTCTGTGTTTCCCATGTACATAGATACGCTCAATCTCTGCCCATGCTACACCTGTGTTCTTTAACTTTTTGGTCACTTACATACTTCCTGGTTGATAGTCCAGAGTCCCAGAGACCACTGACTGTCCAGACTCCACCTTTCACTGGGTACCCACACTGGTCCGTTTTTCTGTTTAACACTTTAATGCCCTACAAGACAATGACATTGTGAGAGAACTTGCAGCATGTCATAATATTAAAGGGAAACCTTTAAGTTTGTATAGAAATGTAAAAACGTTTTAAGACAAGGAACATTTTGGATGTTTTAACTTCAACTAGGGAACTTCACAAGGGTGAAGAAAGTGACAAAACTATTAAGTAGTCCATTAATGGAATTGTAATTTTCTAGCTTCCACACAGCACATTGTAACTGCTGTATCAAATGTCAAATGCACGTTTTTCTGTCCTCCAAGTTCAGTAGTGTGCCTTTTTCTTAAAACTCTATTGAACTCTATCTCAAAAGGCCTTCTGTTCATGGATAGGCTTGAACCTAGCTAGAGGTATGACCATTCAGACAGCAGTCAGACACACGCTGTGTGGTGGGCAAGTCCTGTACCACCAGGGGCCCTCCCTCCTCCTGGGACAATGGAGCATGATCCGTGCTGCTGCTTCTCTTCTGCTTTCTTCCCGGGAGGCTCAGCAGCTGTTTCTCATCACTGCTGCCACAGTCACCACCTGCTTTGTTCCTCATCCATCTTCTATTTTTCCATAAAATTTTCCCATATGGCAAAATTGTCCCTTATGTTAGGAAATTGGACTTTTCAAAAGCTCAGCTTACTATAATGTTTTTCAGTGGTTCCCAATGGGTGGGGCCAGGGAGAGAAATGTATCAATCTAATTTTTTTAAAACTCCCCTCACCCAGCATGTCACCTGATAACCCTATTGCTCCACGGTTGAGGGTCTTGTCCATACCAACTGCAGTCTAGATTTTGGTTTGCCTCCAAATGATCGGATCACCATCAGTTGCACAGCACATCAATCTGACCCATGAAAGACCACAATTTGCCTTATCGAGTCTGGTCATTGCAGCAAGTCCTCTTTTTAGAACAAAAAAATCCCCTTGAGAGCAAATCACTAAACAATGTTCAGTGATAAAGACACTAAATAAATACATGACCAAATAAAGATGTCTTCATTTACCCTCACAAAGTACAATCATTCTTAGTATTTCCTCCAAGAGTGATAAAGTTAGCTTTTGTCTTGGGGGGGGGGTAGGGGATGCATGTGTGACACACAAATGACAAATAATGACTAGTGAGGTTAATTCTAATGATATGTGGAATGAAAGTATGAACAGTTAAATCATTTTAAAGAGAATGAAGTAATCCAGTAACAATGCATTGCAAATGCATTAGATTTTAATCTTTAATATCTAACATTATTGCTTTAGGAAAGTTTTTCCCTGAACCAAGAATACAATGCTAATCACATAAAAATATACGCACATAAAAAGTAGTTCTCCAATTTCCCAGGAAAAAATCCAAGTATAACTTCTAGAATAGTCAAGTTTTTTGTTTTAATTATAATTAAAGTCTTGGTCATCTCATTTATTAGCTCCGTAACTTACATATTTAAATTAAAGAAACATTAGACAACCATTACGATTTATAAATGTAAGGTGCCATTATTGAGTAAATAGATTCCTCCGTGAGTGGATGTGTCCCTTCTCCCAACTAATGAAGCAGCAATATACATTAGTTTAACTTTATTAGATGATACACTGCTGCAAATGCTAATTCTCTCTCCTCCCCCATGTTTATGTTGTGTATACGTGTGAGTTGGTTAGAATGCCTCGACATTATCTTTAATAATCAACAACAAGATGAGCTAGGCTTGGGCTTTCGGTGAAGATTGATGGTGTCTGTCTGAATCAAGTGATCTGACCTATCTTCGGTGGCAAGAACTCTCCGAACCGCTTCCTCAAAGGCTGCCGCGACATTTGTGGCATCTTTTGCACTTGTTTCAAAATAAGGATAGTCGCCGTTGTCCCTGCACCAGGCCTGGGCTTCTTCTGCAGACACCTGCCGTTCACTTATGTCAATCTTGTTACCCAAAATCACAAAAGGAAAGCTTTCGGGCTCTTTCACATCTGCATAATATATGAATTCTTTCTTCCAGTTACTCAAGTTCTGGAAGCTTTGCGAATCATCGACACTAAAAGTAAGTAGGCAACAGTCAGAACCTCTGTAAAATGGGGTCCTCAGGCTTCGGAATCGCTCTTGACCCGCTGTGTCCCAAATCTGCATGGTAACGAAATGTCCATCCACCTCCAAATCTTTATTTAAAAATTCCACACCTATTGTATGGAAGAGCTGGGTATCAAACTTATTAGTTACATATCTGTTCATAAGAGAACTCTTCCCAACTCCACCATCTCCAAGGAGAATTACTTTAAAAAGCGATGATTTTCCTGCCATTATTAATCTCAAAGAGCTTTGACTTCAGAACCCTGTAAAATAAAAAGGTACCATTACATTCTTTTATACCTGTGCATTCTGCTACATGATTCTAGGAATATCAACATTTAAATGAAATAAAACATATAGCCCCAATTCCTTTTTGCAAAAGGAATACCTAATAACAAGAATTGTCATTTACTCAGCACTTAACCAGTGTGCCAACCACTACCCTACCATTATTCCCTAAAACAGCTGATGAGGGCTCCCTCTTCCTCTTTCTCAGGCCACAGCAGACTGCCAGGCTGACACTCGAGCCTAAGTCTGACCCCAAAGACCTCACTAGGAACCATCACTCTAGATCAGCCCCTCTCTGCTCACAACAAGCCCCACCACCATTTGTTAAAGATGCAGTTAGAGACCCAAGTCCGCAACTTTCTTTAACAACTTTAAACAGCCCTTCAGTGCACAGTGATGGTGTTCACTGATGGCATCCCTCGTGCCGAGGATGTCCTATCTTCAGACATAGGTGCTATTAGCCAAGAAAGCCAGACAGAAGCTGAATGATCTGGCTGTGAAATAAAATAAACCAACCACTGTATAAATGGACTTTATTCTTGTTATTAGGAACACTATTTTGAGTTTTCAAAAATTAATGTCATCAGCAATGAAATTTTTACTTTAAAATCATAATCTAGTACATTCTACTCACAAGACTCATTTGGGCAGCTCCAACTCTTAGCAAATATGAGCCCGTGCTGTTACTTGCGTGTTTTGAGATGGAATAAAATAAACCTTAAACAAAAAAGTGGTACTATACATGCTCTTTAGGAGAAGTCCTGGGGCAGGATTAAAAGTTTTCCAACACTACAAGAGTCAGCCTATGTGGGGTAAGAGCTTCTAATTTTTTTTTTTTTTAAGAGACAGGGTCTCACTCTGTCACCCAGGCTGGAGAGCAGTGGCACAATCACAGCTCATTGCAGCCTTGAACTGGGCTCAAGCAATCCTCCTGCTTCAGTGTGCCAAGTAGCTGGGACTACAGGCAGACGCTACTACACCTGGCTAATTTTTAATTTTTTTTTTTTTTTGAGAGACAGAGTCTCACTCTTTTGCCTGGGCTAGAGTGCCGTGGCGTCAGCCTAGCTCAGAGCAACCTCAAACTCCTGGGCTCAAGCAATCCTTCTGCCTCAGCCTCCCGAGTAGCTGGGACTACAGGCATGCGCCACCATGCCCGGCTAATTTTTCTATATATTTTTAGTTGTCCAATTAATTTCTTTCTATTTTTAGTAGAGACAGGGTCTCGCTCTTGCTCAGGCTGGTCTCAAACTCCTGAGCTCAAACAATCCGCCCGCCTCGGCCTCCCAGAGAGCTAGGATTACAGGCGTGAGCCACCGCACCCGGCCTAATTTTTAAATTTTTTTGTTGTCCAACAAAGAACTCCTTGCTTGATAAAAAAGAAAAAAAAAATTTTTCAGAGAGATGGAGGCCTCTCTATGTTGCCCAAGCTGGTTTTAAACTCCTGGCCTCAAGCGATCCTCTCACTTCAGCCTCCCAAAGTACTGGGATTATAGGCATGAGCTACCTCAACTGGCCTTGTTTTAATTTTTTATTATGGAAAATTTCAAACATACACAAAATTTCTGAATGAGAATAATATAATCAACTTCCAAGAACCCTAAACCCGGCTCTACCCGTTATCAACTTATGGCAAATCCTGTTTCCTCATAACCCCTCACTCTCCCTTCTCCCCAGTTATTTTGAATCAAATTGTATCAATTGGTAAACATTTTGGTATTAAATGGCTTTTAAGTATATTAAAATTTATAAGAAGATAAACTTAAGAGCAGCACTGTCCAACAGAATTTTATACAATGATGGAAATGTCCAATATGGCTCAATGCCCAGACTAAATTAATGTTAGAGAGGAGACCCAAGCACCCTCAAGCCCCTTACTTTCATGACTTAGGTAACAATGCGCTAAATCGGTTGCTTTAATTCTTGGAATCTTGCATAAACAACTTCAACCTAAAAAGACTGACAAAACAAAACAAAAAAAGCAAACCAACTATTTTGACATAGGGGGAGCATCTATCTAATGTCCTCTCAGAATCCTTCAGTGGGTCGTTTCCAAGACTAAGGCAAACTCCTAAGACAAGATACCTGGCCCCTGCTCACCTGGCCAGCCTCCCTCTGGCCACCTTCCCCACCAACATTCTCTGCTTCAGACATTCTGAAAAGCACTGTCACGTGGAACATTTAATTCCACTCGCTCAGTGCACTGCACAATCTTGCCTTCGCCCTGGCGTACACTGCTCCCTATGCTCATGACCCCCCAACGAACACTGTGCCTTCAGAACTGTTCAGCATGGTTGTCACTTCCACTGGGAAGCCTTCGCTGCCTAGCAAGCCCCCTCAATGTGCCTTTAACAGAATTTCCATGTTGTTTTATCAGAGTGTAGCAGATATAGTCTATCATTTATTCCAGTATTTTATTAAGTCTCTATAGATCTCACTGCCTTACCAGACACAAAGTTTTATTATATAGCACTAAATTTTCAGAATCTTAAAATCAAATTATAAGCTAGATCATATAATCAAACAACCCCTACCAAATACCAGACTACTGATTACACATATCTACCAAATTAAGTTTTATAAACTCGAGATTTGTAATTTATAATTTTATCAGGTCACTTTTATAGTTCTTTTCTTTTTTCATAATAGTGTGGGATTTCCTAGTTTGTGTCATTATTCTGACCAAGCAAATTTGGGGTATGCTAGACCCACGCACCAGGAAATAGGGTATAATTTTTCATATTTCCCATCTACAGTTTGGGGCCTCCTAGATACTCCTACTTGGGAATATATTGGCATTTGCTTAAACTAATATACACATGAACATCTAACTGTAGGATTGTATATAAACACACATGGTGATATAAATTATTATACAGACCATCTTATTTCCTATTGACACCTTACAAAAGCCAGCTTCATTCAACGTAACCTCAATCAGCTTATGGACATTAAAAATGTTCCTTTTCTCTTCTCTAAAAATAGTAACATCCTTTGAAATTTCTTCATTATAAGTTAAATGAATAAAGGTATCCTACTATATTATTTTCAAAATTTACCTAAAAATGTAATGTGGAATCTCTTATACTCCACAGTTTGGAATCATGGTCCAAAGGCAATAACTTTCACCAAGGTTTAAAACATTGCTTTAGTGATTCTGCTAAATTCAGCAAAGAAATCTGAATAAGAAAAGCATATTACATAGGTCATAAATCTTACCTTAATTGTTCAATTCAAGCATCGTTATCTGCAAAGAAAAAAAATAGCTCACCTTTACATTTATCTTCATAATTAAGAGTAAAAACAAGAATTAAAATGTGAAAGAAGTACAGTATCTGACTGCTGCTGGCAGCCAGATTCTTAACTTAAAAGGAAACCCACACCTGAAAGCTGCCCATCTTTCTCAGCCTAAAAAAGACACTTCAATCAAATATTCCACTTTAATCATTGTTTTTCAAAAAGTTTTTCATCTGCCCACCCTTCTTTTCTAAGTTTCACACTCAGAGACAGCTAATTAAGATGAAATGTATAATATTTCATTCATTCTTCACAACTTGTCCAAATTTGGAGTGGCTTAGAATAAGTCATACTCCAGAGAATCAAATAAAGGTAACACGAACAAGGAAAACAGAGGGGCCATGCAAGGGAGGGGCACCAATATGACACAGGAAAAATCGGGCTAAAGCTAAAGGTAGCACAGTGTCTGAAGCTCTAAGCAGCCAAGGCAAAAATGAAAACTCTCTTGTTTCTGTGCGAATAAAAGCACACTGTCAGAAAGGAGAACTTGTTCCTGGTACCAAATGCCAGGAGCACAGCCCCATGAGTGAGCTAGTTAACATCCTGAAGCCTCATGGGAACAATGGCGACAACAGTACCTACCTCCTAGGGTTGTTGAGAAGATTCACTCAGATGATGAGGGAAAGTGTTTCATCACAATGCCAGGCTCCTTACAGGAGTACAGGAAGTTTCTGTGAATGAATACATGAGGAAGTCTTTACGGGCAGTTTTACACACAGGTTCATTTTATAGCCATTTCTTACATTAAACTTTGGTAAGAACTATGGGCAGAACAAATCACAGGATTTTGCAGGCCTACAATAGAAGTCAAAGGATGCTAGTCCTAAAGATCAAATTCTATTAGAAGGTTTCCCAGTGATGCCTATGTGGGACTGTGCTAAAGTACTAGCCTCTCTTGGTCTAAACCAATGGTTTCAAACCACCCCCCACCTT